CCACAGCCTGGCCAAGGCGCCCATGGCAGCCACTCTGGGGTGGGGATGGGCTAAGGGGACACTCAGGGCCTGTGGCTGATGGATCCCTGCAGACTCCATGAGGAACCACCACTGGCAGCAGGACTCTGCCCGGGGMAGGCTCCATTCCCTTGATTTTATCTCTCAGCACAAGAGTTCGTTTAGTTCCTTTCAAGGTTAACACAAAATTCCCCTCTGTTCTCATGAAGCTGCAGCCCCTCCAGGGCCCATCCCTGCCCCAGCTCTGGGGTCCTGAGCACAAGAAGGATCTGGAGCTGTTGGAGGGAGTGCAGAGGAGGCCATGGAGATGCTGCCAGGGCTGGAGCCCCTCTGCTCTGAGGAAAGGCTGAGAGAGCTGGGGGTGCTCAGCTGGGAGAAGTGAAACCCTAGGGAGGCCCCAGTGCGGTCCTGCAGGACTTGGAGGGGCCCAGAGGAAAGATGGGGACAGAGTGTCCCAACCAGGGCTTGGGGGGAGAGGTGAAGGGGGAATGGCTTTTAACTTCAGGAGGTTGATTTGAGTTGCTTTTTGGGAAGCAAAATTGGGAAGAATTTGGTTGATTTTAGGAAGGTGTTTTTTACACTGAGGGTGGTGGGGYCCTGGACCAGGCTGTGCACAGAGGCTGTGGATGCCCCATCCCTGGGAACATCCAAGGCCAGATGAGAGAGGACTCTGAGCAGCCTGCTCTGCTGGGAGCTGCCTCAGGTTGGAACCAGATGATCTTTAGGGTCCTTTCCAAGGTAAACCATTCAGGGATTCCATCCTTCGATGGTCCCCATTGCCCACAGCGGAGTGGTCTTGGAACTCCTGTGAGTCGCGATGTCCCAGGCYGTGTTCCAGATGGATCTTCCATCTCCCAGCTGAGAGCACAACACAGCCATTCACCCTTGTGCCAGCATGCCCCTCCTGCCATCCTGCTCCAAGAGCCCCACTGCCACCCTGCTTCTCACCAGGACCCTGACACTGCCTGAACGCTCCTCACTGCCTGGATCRTGCCATCCATCCCTKCAGGACRCTCACTYTTGTCCCAATGAAGGTACAGTGCCATTCCATAGGAGGGGGACACCCCCTGATAGCCCAGGCAGGCTGGAGCTCTGTGGGGATGGTGTGGGGCACAGACCCCACTCTGAGGTTTTGCTCCCTATTCAAACTGTCACAGACAGAGAGGAAGAAATGGAGGTGGATGTGAAGATTGATACAGAGTATTGATACAGATATAGAAGAGAATGGAGAGGAGGAGATGGAGCTGGACGTGGAGGAGWTGGAGGAAGAGATGGAGGTGGACATGGAAGTGGATGAGAAAGGTGAGGAGGAGGAGATGGTCTTGGGATGAAGACCAACCCCAGCAGCAGGACAGGCAGGTKCTCACCCTGCCATGCCCACAGGCAGAGTGGGTCCCTGCTGCCAGGCACCTGCTCCCGGGCACCCTGAGAGTGTGCAGCCAGCCCTGAGCTCAGGGAGCTTCCTGAGCCATGAGCTGGGGACAGATGGATGCATGGATGGATGGAGTTCATCATGAGGCTGAAAGCTGGGTGGCCCTAGTCAGGGACACTGTGCCCTGAGGGGGATCTGGATTCTGGRGACACAAGCACCACCCCTGCCCTGTCCTGGGCTTGCTCTGGGCCAAACCAGCCCTGTCCTAGTGCTTGGGGCCCAGCTGGGGCTCAGTGCTGGCTGCAGAATCCCACTCTGCCAGTGTGTCCTAGGCTGGAAGCACAGGGAACACCCCTCTGTGCCTACACTCGAATGATCTTGTCACTTGCTTTTCTTCCAGGACTGATGGAGATGCCAGGCAGAGATGCCACCCTTCTGTACATAAATTTTAGAGATTATTCTTCAGTAGTCTCTTGTACATATGTTTTAGAGAGTGTTGTTGTCTCCCGTAAATACGTTTCATACGTTGTTGTTAGATAGGTTCTTCTGTAAATACGTTCTATAGATTGTTGTTGTTATAAAGATTCTTACTATGTAAATACATGGCAGAGTTAATTGCTGTTTCTGCTCTTCTGTAAATAAACAATTTTTTTTTTCACACCCCAGCTCTTTTTCCATTGGCTTTGGGCACATGCAGCATTTGCAGAGTTGGGGTTCCCCGCGCTGGAGGTGTCTGGGAGTGCTGGGTTGGGGGTACCAYTGCACAGAGCTCCGCTTGGAGGTCTGTACACACTTTGTGGTTATAGAGGCAGAGCCCACAGGGCGCTGTCCCCTGGGATATTCCTTTTGGGAGCAGGGCTGAGCCTGCGTGTCCTGCAGAGCTCATCAGTGTCACTTCACTAGGTGGCACCAGACACCAGCGCTACCGAGGCTGCGCTGGGCTGCGGGCACCCCCTGCTCCCGGGCACCCCGAGAGGGTGCAGCCAGCCCGGAGCTCAGGGAGCTTCCTGAGCCACGAGCTGGGGACGGATGGGTGCATGGATGCATGGATGSATGGATGGATGGAGCTCACCATCAGGGTGAAAGCTTTGCATCACCTGCTGGAGGATTGTGGCTGCTYTGCAGGGCATGAGCTGTCCCTTGGGTGCTTTGTTCCCCTGGGAAGGCTGGGGAACCAGGGGCAGGTTGTCCCTCTCCTTTCCATTCCCTGCAGAGCCTCACTCGGGCTGGGAAAATGCAACATSTGCCACAACAGCCTCGAGCATCGCACAGCTGGGGGCTTGGGGCTTCGGAAGGAGGGTCACAAAGGGGTTTTCATGGAGGTGAGCATGAGCCATGTGGGATGGGGGCTGCTCTGTGGGGTGCTGGGGCAATGGGTGCTGCACACATAACAATGAAACATGAGGACTGCAGGCAATCCTGTGCCCAGAAACGCCTGGCTCTTGGTTATTCCATGGGAGTTTGCAACAAAATGAATTCACACTTTCCCCCCTGCTATGAATAAAGAACTATAGAATATTCTTCAGGTGGATTGGTTCCCCCCCATCTTCTTTGCAGCTTAATCCAAGCCTTGCACCTCGATCTTTTCTCCTCCCTTGGAGRCATAGGTCCAAGCACGACCTCAGCCAGATTCTGGCACCAGCTGGGAGCACAGCATTGTCCTCTCCAGCCCCAGCAGCAGCTGAATGGCAATGGATTGCTTAAAAATTAATCCAATGCTTGTATTTCTCATTAAAAGTGCTACATTGTTGGTGTACAGCCCAGAAAATCTTTTTGGGTTGGCTATATCCTCTGAACATTATTTAATAAATGACTTCACAAAGAGCTAAATGCAGCCACAGAGTCAACAGGGAAATTGGACAATAATTAACAGATATGAGGTTAGTTGAGGTCCAGTTAACGGGGCCCATTGCAACTTGAGAATGGAAGTCTGAGCAGGAAAGAGCACAGAGATTCCCTGGATGGAAAGTGGCAGCTCCAGGGCTGGATCAGTGCAATGGGTGGGGTTCAGGAGCTGCACAGAGCATATAGGGGTGATACAGGGCTTTTGTTGCTCCTTGTCCTGCCTGATTGCAAGGTCAGGGCTGCCCTTTGCAGGACTGGTGAGGGGAAGTGGTTTGGCTGCGGGAACCTTCCCCTCCCTGGGCATTCCCAGAGCCTGTTTCCAGCACATCTTGGGCTTCTGCCTGCCCCAGAAGTCCCACAGAAATGTTCCAGGAACCCCTTACACAAGCTGAGGTGGATATTGACCAATTGATGGGAAATGGAGTAACTTCCCATTGCTCAAGGGAACCTAAAAAAAACAGATTTGCCCGGAGGCTGGGGCAGGGTTACTGTTTCCTTGGGAGGGAGGAACTGGTTGAAGCTTGAAGGGTGGTGGGGCCTTTGCCATCTGTACAAGGAATACAGCCCCCAATCCCTACAGYCATCAAGAGTTAGGGCTCAGCCAAGTTGTCCTTGTGCTGCATCACAGCTGGTGAGAGGGCCAGGAGGAGTGGATTATCCCACCCCAGAAAGGCCAGMCACTTTCTCCAGCTCCAGCCTCCTTCCTGAATGGCAGCAGCCACACAGAGAAGGCGCTGGGGTTCAGAGCTTGAGAAAGATTCACCTTTGGCTAAGCCAAAGCTGTTTTCCCTACAACAGCTTACACTTCCAGTGGAGCARGAATCAGGAGGGTTTGGGGCTGGGGCAAGTAACCTCTGGGGAAAACTTAAAGGATCCTCCCAGGGAAGACACAGGCAGCCTCATGCTGATATGGATCATGCTGTAAGGTTCGGTTTGCAGGACCATGTGCAAGCAAAGCWCAGAGGAAAAGCCATTTAACAGACCCCCAGAAGCGAACAGGGTCACCACAAGAGTTTCTCCTGGAAAAGGGTTCCTGGAGAAGATACCTGTCCAGGAGAAAGTAGCATCACTGCCTCCAGCAGCCTGCCAGGGTGGACAATGCCCTGGGTCATCACTGTGCCTGGGGGGCACAATGCYYCAGGTGAGGCTGCAGGGGTCAGTTGTGCAATGGAATAACTGCTTTTTGAGCAATCAAACAATAAAAAAAAWTGCTTTTCCGGAAAACAAAATGCAATAGGCAGGGGAAAAAGCTACAAAACATTGACAAGTGCCCAGCCCGTTTCCCCACCTCCATCCTCCCCGAGGGTTTAAATGTTGGTGTCCCCCACCTCTGACGCTCCCACCTCTCAGGGACACGGCAGCATGAAGGCGGTGGCCGCCCTCCTCCTGGTGGGGATGCTCATCCTCTGGGCAGAGCTGCCAACAGGTATGAGATGTCCTAGGATAAGGTATGGCGAGGAAAAGCTGGATAATGGGAAGAAGCCATGTTTACGTGGATGTTGTGGGAGAGGAGAGGGAGAGGGAGAGGGAGAGGGAGAGGGAGAGGGAGAGAAGTGTTTGCCGGGTACCATCGCCCCAGGGCCCCTCAGGTGCCCCGGAGCAAACCAGTCCCTCCTGTCGCAGGCAGCGCCTGGTCCTGCCCGCCCGTCCGCTTCACCTGCGCTCTGCACAACCCCCCGAACAAGTGCTTTACCGACCGGCACTGCCCCCGCGGCAAGAAGTGCTGCCGCACCTTCTGCGGGAGGAAATGCATCTCCAAGCCGCCCCGCGTCCCCATCTCCTACGGTAGGAACTTAGGGACACGCTCTAAATGTGTCCCGGCTCCCGGGATGTTGTGAGGGTGGCTCTGGGCAGGGAGCTGTGTCCAGCTGCCAGAGCCCTCCCTGGTCAGGCTGGTGGGGTGACTGGAGACAAACCCGCGGGATTGCTCTGAACGCCAGACCCAACCTGTTTCTTATTCTCCCCAGTGTGAGCTCCGGCTCCCAGGATGGACTGAGGGTCATCTCAGCGTTCCCATCCCATCTCGGCTCCAGGATCACTTCGTGACAGCTGTCACACAGTGTTATGTGCCACCCACTTCCCCTCTCCCTCTGCTTCCCYGCTGCTGCTTTAACAAATAAAAGAGGCTTTTCCCAGGGGTGTCTGTGATGTGTGACTCCTTTCCCCACCTCCTCCCGCCTCGTTCCAGGCTCATCCTGCTGCACAATCCCACGGCTGCTTTCACCCCAGAATTTCTGCCAGGGGAAGACGATGCAAATAGTCTGGCTACACACCTGCAGTGTTTTTAGGGGCTGGCTTGGGGGAGAAAAACCAATCCAGAGGCATACAATTTCCAGGARGAGAGAGGCTGTGTTTGGGGCTGGCCCTGGGAAGACATAGGCAGACTCATGCTGATTGGGATCATGCTGTAAGGTTTGTGCAAGCAAAGTACAGAAGGAAACCCCCTTAACAGACCCCCAGAAGGGAACATGGTCACCACAAGAGTTTCCCCTGAGAAAAGATACCTAGGAGAAGATACCTGCCTAGGAGAAGGCAGGTCCACTGCCTCCAGCCTATCAGGGTGGATACAGCTTGGCTCATCTCCCCTTGGCTTGTCCCTCAGCCCCAGGTGAGGCTGCAGGGGTCAGTTGTGCAATGGAATAACTGCTTTTTGAGCAATTGAACAACCCTATTTATATCTTGCTCAAAAGGCTTCCGGAGAGGAAAACCGTACTACACAACKGGCACACGCTCAGCCCGTTTCCCCACCTCCATCCTYCCCGAGGGTTTAAATGTTGGTGTCCCCCACCTCTGACGCTCCCACCTCTCAGGGACACGGCAGCATGAAGGCGGTGGCCGCCCTCCTCCTGGTGGGGATGCTCATCCTCTGGGCAGAGYTGCCAACAGGTATGAGATGTCCTAGGATAGGGGATGGGGAGAAAAAGCTGGATACTGGGAAGAAGCCATGTTTACGTGGATGATGTGGGAGAGGAGAGGGAGAGGGAGAGGGAGAGGGAGAGGGAGAGGAGAGGCATGTCTGCCGGGCAGCATCGCCCCAGGGCCCCTCAGCTGCCCGGAGCAAACCAGTCCCTCCTGTCGCAGGCAGCGCCTGGTCCTGCCCGCCCGTCCGTGTCACCTGTGCCCGGCCCAATCCCCCGAACGCGTGCCTTACCGACCGGSACTGCCCCCGCGGCAACAAGTGCTGCCGCACCTTCTGCGGGATGAGATGCTTCTCCAAGCCGCCGGTCACCCCCATCTCCTACGGTAGGARCTCAGGGACACCCCCTGCCTGCTCCCGGGATGCGGTGAGGTGGCTCTGGGTAGGGAGCTGTGTCCCCGGCTCAGCCTGGGGGGGTGACTGGGGACAAACCTGCGGGATTGCTCTGAACACCAGACCCAACCTGTTTCTTACTCTCCCCAGAGTGAGCTCSGGCTCCCGGGACAGACCGAGGGCCATCTCAGGCTCCAGGATCAGCCCATGACTGCTGCTGCAGAATGCTACGTGTCACTACTTCCCCTMTCCCTCTGCTTCCCCACCACTGCTTTATCGAATAAAAGAGGCTTTTCCCAGGGGTGTTTGTGTGTGTGACTCCTTTCCCCACCTCCACCCTCTTCTCTCCATCCTGGCACATAGTCCCACGGCTGCTTTCACCCCAGAATTTCTGCCAGGAGAAGAGGATGAAAAGAGCCTAGCTACACACCTACAGGTGGTGGGGGCTGGCTTGGGGGAGAAAATTCAGCTGAAGGARCTTGCCTGGGAAATCCTCAAGCCAGGGCAATAAAATCATAGCTCCAATAAGTTCTTGTAATTTTTTTAACAGCTGAGTTCTGGGGACAAAAATTCAGGGAGTGCCAAGAAACATCAGCAGGAGCGAACATGTGCAGCCTGAGGGACCTGGTGGCCCCTKTGCACTGCAGGGGCAGAGTGTCACCAGGCCCAATGCCCAAAGAGTGCCTGCCAGCCATCCCCAGCCCACTGCTGATGCCAGGCTTGCCATTCTCAACAAGCAGCCCCAGCCCCAACTGGGAGAACAGCTCAGTCTGTCTGCACACACTGGAGGGGACAGTGAGGAGCTGCTGCATGTGAGAGCTGAGCTAATGATGCCTCTGGCCAGGCACGAGCAAAGCAATCTGGAGAGCAGCACCAACTGGCCAGATTTTAAACCAACCCCAAGGACAGCAGGATGAAGACTCTGGGTGTGGGACTGACACCTTGCATGGTCCATGGTAGGTGCTGGAAGCTTCCTGGAGCAGGGAGAGCATCTGCTGGTCTATGGTCAAGTCAATGGAGGTGATCTCCTCTCTGTGGAGGAACTAGAAGGAGGCAAAGACTCACAAATTACTCTSACTGAGAAGGGAGAAGTCCTGTGGTGGAAAAAACCACCTCTCTGCTTAGCCTGGCCACGGGAGGGCAGAGGGAACTGGAGAGCTCACGCAGCGCTGGGGAGGCTGAAAACGCCAGGTGATCCAGCAGGGACAGGCAGAACAAGAGCTGGGAGCTCATCAGCCAAACTCAGCGTAAAATCAGACATTACTTCTGCCCAGTGTAAGGTCCTTGCAGGGGAAAATGATCCCTGACACCAGCCCAGCCCTCAGCGCAGAGAGAGCTGTGCCACACAAGCCGTGAGGTGAGAGGGGCAGAGCCCCAGAGCTCCCCCATCATCCCCGCAGCCCGGCCGGGACTGGCAGCAGCCAGGGCACCGCAGCCTGATTACACCTCCCGAGGCCATTAGTCACAGATCACAACCCTCCTCCTTCAGCACCAGCTATTATCAGCTATTAAGCAGGCATTTCCATACAGCTGGCTAATTTGATAATGCTGCAATTATCTTGGTTTGTTAACAAGATTAAATTGCTAATTGGTTTGATTAAGCACAGAGCTCCAGGCATGGGGTGCCTCTCAGCCGGCCCCGCATAACCCGATGGATGCCGTGCCCAGGGCAGCKGCTCTCTGCAGAGACAAGGAAATGTCAGGAAGGGCTCATCCTCCAAACCCTGCTGCCCCCAGATCTCCCGGTGAGAGATCCCTCTTCCTGCTGAGACAGCTTTGCCCATGYCACCGCTGTCACCCAGCTGCTGGCCCAGGAAGGCGGGAGGAAGGTGGCTTTGGGCCGGAGGATGCTCTGGGGACATCTAGTCTGTCTGAGTCCTGCTGCTTTCTGTTTTGGAGCCCTGCAAGCCAGAAATCCCCGAGGCCATCACCAACTGTGCCTCCACCTGCAGCTGTGTCAACAAATCCTCTGCCTTCCTCTTCCCAGGTACAGGTCCCTGCCTCCGGTGCACAGCATTTCCAGCTGCACTGGGGAGCCTGGGGAGCTCCCAGCACTGGATTACACTCCCCTGTACCCCTCCATGAAGCAGCACCCACCTGGGAGGGGCTGAGCAGTGCACCAAAACACACACAGGTCAGGATCACCAATTGTGGTAAGCTCCTGGCAGTGTGCATTGGCTGAAATCCTTTGGACCCAGGTCTCTAGGAAGAAGGGAATTGCTCTCTGTCCCAGGTATGTGTCAGCAAGACAATGGGAAAAGCAGTGAGTGCTGTGCCAGAGAGATGTTTCTGATTCTTCCCACATCACCTGTTCTCCAAGACCAGCACAGTCTGGAGATGAAGATGTTAATTTTCTCTGCCTGAGKGCTTACCACAGCTCAGGACTCCTTMCTTCTCCTGGGACAGGCCCACGAGGTCTGGCRCTGGGAATGTGGGCAAAGGATGCMCTCAAGGACCCAGCTTTGAGCTAGAAACAGCCATCATGGCACATGACAGCAGCAGCACCACTGCAGGACAGGCAGCAGGCCTGGCTTTCTCCATCTTCCCTCAAAGCAAAGGTTTTCAAGCCAGTCACTCGTGGACAATCCCCAAAGGAAGCATCCAACACCCCCCAGCATCCCAGGGGATGGAATCCAGAATCTCCCCAGGGATCCATCAGCACCACAGAGCATCCTTGCTCCACACAATGTACTTTGTTCCACTCTGAAATGGAGACAGGTCAGAGGGTGGAGAGGCCAGGTTTTAGCCACAGCACAGCAGAACATCTTTAATATTTTCTTGGAGCCTCTCCCTGCATATTTTATGGTCTGGCTCAGAAGATTGGGCGGTTGGGGTCTGAATACAGAACAGTTTGGTGCTCGAGGGTGATGTGAGACCTTTTCAAGAGGTGATTCAAACCAGCCTAATAAGGATTACTACAGCTTTGACAGTCTTTGAAAAGGGAGGGTTATTTAGCCAGCCTGGCCAAGGAGTGGGAATCTGTAGTCCCAGCMGGATCTCAGCAATCACATCAGTTCCAGAGGAGCAAATACCCTGGGCTGAGCAGACCCGCTCAGCAGCAGCTCTGCCCGTGGTCAGGAGCCRTGCACAGCCCTCATTGTTTCTGCTGAGGAGCAGCAATATTCCAGGTGGGAAAAGGAGTCAACAGCATCCTGCTCCCCACCACAGAAGAAAAATATATACACCTGTCCAGAAAAACAAACCATCCTCACAGCTAAAGGTCAACAAATGTATGAATTCACTCTGGGCTTTCGACTGTGGGGTGGTTTACACAAACTCAGCTCCTCACCTGGACCAAGACCCTCTCCAGGGGCAGGGAGAGAGTGGTCTGGGCCAGAGCTGTCTCACACCAGCTGATGCCCTCCASCATTTTCTTTCTGAATACACAGGTGTTCTCAGCTTCCATGGCCAGGATATACCAGTAACCTTTCCCAAAGCCCTCCCACCCTCACCAGTAACAGGTGAGCAGCAACACAGGACAGGGGAGCCCCAGAGCAGAGGGGGCTGGCAGGGGATAGAACCATGGCTAAGGGATGCCAGAGCAGCCCATTGTGATTTCTCTCCTGCCTAAAGCCCTGCCAAAGCTCACAAGCTGCTTGTGATGAAGCCCTTCAGTCTGGCAGGAAGCAGCTCTGCCTGCCCCAGCCAAGAGGCAGCAGAGCTGTGCTGAGCTGCTTGGCTCCATCCCCCGTCCATCCCACCAGGAATCCTCAGCAGGCTGCTCTTCACTGCAGCTGCACGAGGTTGCGCACACTCAGGAAGCCTTTCAGATGCTGGCAGGACTTCCCTGAGCCAGGGAGCCAAAAGGAAGGCAAAAAAGATGAGGCACTGACAGCACCCTGTAGCTGAGGGACATCCCTATGTGCCAGCAATCCTTTTTCCCAYGCAGAAAGAGAGAAAAGAGACATCTCTTTGCAGCAAGCCAGACTGCATGAAGACACATGAGAGCTCAGCAGGAGGCTGGCAGGGGCTCAGGCAGAGCAGCCTGGGCTTCCTTGTGTCCCATGGCAGGCAGGRCAGCTGGGCTCCATCATCCCTGCCCTCTCCCATCTCCCAGCAGGGCTCTCCCTCCACAGTGCCTCAGAGAGGCTGATGTCTGTGTTCAGCCAAGCAGCTGGGATGTTCCACAAATAACAGCTCTGGCAAAGGCTGGTGAAAYACTCGCAGACTCACATGAAGCAGTTTGCAGAGAGGAAAGCAGCTCCCACAGGCACCAGCCCGGCACCAGCCCCTGCTCAGGCATCAAACTGCAGCACAGATCCCAGCACAGGTCCCGAATCACGGCCCACACATGTGCTCAGGGTCATAAACTCACCAYTGCTCCCAAATCCACCAGCACAGGAACAAAGGTACCTGCACACCCCGCCCAAAAGAAGCTGCTCACCTGCAGAGAGCCCTTCAGAGCTGACACCAGTGCCTCCCGATAGCAAAGTGCTCTGGAAGAGGACGGTGGGCTATTTATGCTATAGGGCATCCCTGGCTCTCTGCAGCTCCAGCTGTGGAGGGGAAGCCGTTTCCCAGCTCCTTCAGGTCCCACCAGCAGCGCTGCACAGGGGAATTCCTGTCTCTTCAGTCCTGCCTGTGCCAAGGCACACACAGATGCTCCTTTCCCTGACACTATGTAGGTTAATAACATGCAATGTGATGGCAAGACACAGGCAACCGCAACACGATGTCAATATTTAGCTTTTACACATTTGGCTAATTAGGAAGCAACCTGTGATTCCCTGAGAGGGAGGAAGAGCTGCTTTGCCCCTCTCCCTCCCCTTCTGTATGTTCCCCGTTCAGATGGGATAAACGTCAGCTCCCTATTTCTGGAGTTCGCTGGTCGCAAACGGTCTGTCCCAAAATGCTATTCCCAGGCAGTGGATGTCAGAAATCATTATACTAAATAAAGCTTTATGAATGATTCATGAGGCTGGATTTCACATTAATCAGGGAGAGATGGGCAAAAGCAGCAGAGCATCCCAGACTGCCCTGGCGCGTTCCTGCACAGCAAACGGGAAGGTTTGGACCTTCAAGGCGTAAATCAGAGATATGGTGCCAATCAGAGGAGCACCCTGCTCCCAGCATGATTAGAGCCTGACCCAGCAGAGACTGMAAGAGGCAGTGGGCTGTTGCCCAAATACCTTTCTGCCTCAGGAACTCCTGTGACTCGATCGTGTTAATGAGCCCAGGGCAGCCGGCTGCTGCTCCGAGCATCCCGAGATGCACGACTGCTTTCTGCCTGAGCCTGGGAATCCTGTGCTGCCTCCCTGGCTCTGGGCATGATGGCCTCTAAAAATAGAGAAATG